AGGGAGGGGAAGGGAGGGGAAGGGGGGGAGGCGGGGAGCACAGCCCTGTCCGAGGAGAGGAAGGCAGAACCGGGCAGGGAGCAGGAGGGGTCCAGGAGAACGGCAAGAGGGGCTGGAGCATCCCCCGGGCCATGCCCAGGAGACAAACACCAGCCCTCGTGCTCCCAGCTCCGCAGCATGGGCCAGTGTCCCCCTCCGCACAGGGCCGGTGGGTGGCATGTTAACCCAGAGCAGCACTTCCTAGGCTGGGTGGGAGAAGGGGCTGCTCCAGGCCCAGGCAGAGGCACAGAGGAGGTGGCAGAGGAGCCTGGAGAAGGCAGGGGAGCAGGCGTCCCCTAGCCCTAGAGCAGGTGACAGCTCAACAGACCCCTCTGCAGCTGGAGAACCAGCCCCCAGGGACAGCAGCTCCCAGAAGGGGAAGGCAGGGGACACCGAGCACAGTATGACCCCCAGGGCTAGGGCCCTGGAAGCATACGGGATCAGTGTCCCCCCCGCTCTCCTGCACAGCAGGGTCCAACAGCTCCCAGGACAGGGCTCCCCCGTCGGTTCTTGACCCGACTGTTCTGTTCGCCGGCGGGGGGACGCAGATCGCCGCCTGGGAGGAGAGGAGCAGTGTCAGCACCCTGCCAGGCAGCCGCCCCACCCCCCTCCCTGCCTCCCTGGGGTCTGCTCACCTCAGAGCCTGTAGCTCAGGCTGGCCGCCTTGGCAGGATGAGTGGCTGCCCAGAAGCTGCGCTTGGCCTGCAGCTGTTGGAAGGGGTTGGACTGTCTCCTCCGCTCCCTCTTCAGTTTTTTAACCTTCTTCACCTGTGCAGAGGCAGGCAGGCTCTTGGAGTCAGAGCGCAGAGTCCCCTGCCTCCCCCCAGCCCCGGACACAGCCAGCACCCACCTTCCCTTTGTCATAGTCCTCGTCCCACTCATCAATGACAGTCTCGCTGCAGGCCCACGCTGCTTCCTGGATGGCATCCTCGCTGACAGCCGAGATCTCACCCTCCCAGGTCAAGACTGCAGAGCAGCACGGTCAGCAGGGAGCACCGCATGGTGCTCCACTGCACCCACCTTGTGCAGGGCCCCCACCCCAGGCCAGCAGCTGGAGCCCCTCACTCCAGCACCCCACTCTGCGGCACCCCCAACAGCCCCACAGCCAGGTGCATCTGCCCAGCTCCAGGAGCCCCCACAGCTGCCTGTGCTGGTGCTGGGGGGAGCCCAGACCCTGGCAGAGCACAAAGGGCTCTGCCTGCGTCCAGGGCTCAAGGCAGGGGAGCCGCGTGGCTGTTTACCCACCTAGGCAAGCAGGGATTACCTTGTTTGCCATACGCCTTGTCCAAGGAGTCCTTAAGCAGCTCCTCTACCACATTGGACTCCTCCTGGCTCCCAGGTGCCGTGCCAGCCGCAGGGCCGGGCTCGGGGCTCAGGGCATCTGGGCAGCACCTGCCCCCACCTCCAGCCTGGTTGTCCCAGGCACACGCTGCCGCTGCGGAAACAGGAGGGGTGAGGACAAGCCGGAGGGAGCAGAGGGAGCTCCTGTGTCACGCCATCTCAGAGGCGGATCTCGCCCCAGGAGCCACTGTCGGGATGAACAAAGTCCTGACGGCGCAGGGTGTTTGGGCACACTGGGGCCTGGCCTGGGCAGGGAGGAACTGGGGGTAAACTTTCACCCCTCGAGGGGCCCGTCTCCACGAGTCTGGAGAGGAGCACACCCTCATCCAGGGTACAACTGGGCAGCAATCCTGCATGAGCAGCATGCAGGCCTGCAGGCAGTCAGCTGAGGACGGGAGTCAGAAAGACGGGCACCACCAGGCAGTTGTGGGGACCAGCAAGCACCGGGGACTGGACACCAGTGCTCTGAGGGACTGTGTGGGCAGACGAGCAGCCAGCTCTGCCCTGCCAGGCACGAGGCTGGTCATACCGGGGTGCTCTCTGCGGCATGGACGCCGTTGGCAGGACGCTCCAAGGCTGGGGTGCTGAGGCTTTTCCTCCACTTACGCTTGCGGTGTTCACTCTCCCCAACCCCAGCCTCCACACTCTGCCGCTGCTTTGTCCTCTGGGGCTCTGACTCAGCCCTCCTAAAGCTGGGGAAGGCAGCAGGGGTCAGCTCGCTCTAGCCAGACCAGAGGGGGAAGAGTTTGAGCTCCCCGCAGGGCAACGGGATGCAGGGACACCCACACCCCAGCGCTGCACTCAGGGAGGGGTGAAAACACCCCCCGACACAAGCTGGAGCTTCAGATGGCTCCATGGCAAGGCTTGTCCCACCCGCAGAAAGATGACACACACGCGACCGCAGCCCAGGGAGCCCGACTTCAGCCAGAGCAGAGGTGCACAGGGCTCTCGTGTGCCCCCTGGCCCCTCACCTGCCCGAGGACAGTGTCCCAGAGCAATGGTCTTCTGTCTCCTCTGTTCTCCTCCTCCTCTTCTTCTTCTTCACAGAGGAGACAGGCAGCGCGTCCAGGAAAGTGCTGCAGTCTGACACTGGCTGCTCGGGCCCGCTCTCCAGTTTCTGGCAGCCTGTTGCCTCCCTGCCTTCCGCCTCCTTCCCGAGGAGAAGCCCTACCAACCCCTCCTGAACGAGGTTGTTCTTCTTCCTCGGGGGGCTGCCATCTGCGCCACGATTCTGCTTTCGCTGCTTCTTTTTGGAAGCAGCAGTGACCTGGCCAGGCCCCTTCTCCCTGCTGCAGGGAGGAAAGCGGTGTGAAGAAGGGTGGGCAGTGGAACCGTTGGTCAGGGGGGAGGCTGGGGGCCAAGGGGCGGAGTTGAGGATGAAGCTGACGGCAGGCTTTTCGGGATTTGGCAGTTTTAGAACAGATGAGGACAGCCTGAAGAACAGGAAATGAGGCTGACATGATCTGAAAGCCAGGTCAGGAGCGGGAGCCCCTCTCCTCCTCCCCACCCCAAGGTGCATGAGCACAGCACCCAACTGCTACCATCTCAGCCACGAAATCTGAATCAAACCCTGGTCTCAGAGCAGCAGCTGCCAGCGCACACAGTGACCCTGCACCTGCCCAGTGCCAGCCACATGCAGGGCACACACTGTCCCATGGGGGATTAGGAAAGAGCGAGTGTTGCTGCAGCACACGCCGATGGTGAAGGTTACAAGGGAGACCTGGAGCAAGCCCTGCCAGCCCAGGAGAACAGGAGAGCCGGCTGCCAAAATTGCCCCCCGAGCCAGCTGCCACGCCAGACAGTTGCCCGGTGGAATACCCCAAGGCTGCTACTGGCCTTGCTGCCGTGCAGGAGCCTGGGAGCGACTGGCACCACTTACCTCGACTTGCTCAAAGGAGCGGAGTCAGGGTGGGTGGTGTTCGTGGGGCAGGCGTGGTCAGCAGATTTGGGGCGAGGTTGTGTGTGGCGGTCACTTCCCCTCGCCTTCCGTGAGGTGCTGCCCTGCAGTTATTGACATAAATAAAAACTTGGTGGTCTAAAGAAAAGAGGTTTCCGTGAGCCAAGAGGAGAAAATAAAAAGGGGAGCCCAGAGAAAGGGAAGGGGAACAGACACAGACGGGGGGAGGGAAGTGGGGGGTGGTAGAAGAAGAATCAGAAGTGTTTTCAGTTAGAAGCACAAAGGAAAAAAGGAAGGAAGGAAATTTAAAGACCAGAAACCCCAGTGCACCATTCTGAGCCCTGGCTGCACAGCGGCACCCAGAGGGCCGGTCCCATGCTGCTGCCCAGGGAGGAGGCAACTCTGCAGCCCTCCAGCTGCAGCATCACCTGCTCCCACTCGCCCCAGGGGACATGCTACCCCAAGAAGGCTGGCGAGGCCACCCCGCTGCAGGGACTGGCACAGCCACTCCTCCGTCCTGAGCAACAAGGCAGGAGCCATTTCTCCTGCATCGCCCAGGGATGCGAACAACAGCAGGGACCTGGCCCCGCACCCTGACCCAGAGGGAGGGCAGAGCAACTGCTACAGCCCTGGGGCTGAGAGGCTCTCCCCGCCTGCCTCCGGCTTAGCAAGATACCCAGCATTAGCTCTACACTCGCCCCCAACACAAGCCCCAGTTCAGAAGGCACAAGGTGCCTACTGAAGTCTCTGGGCAGAAGCTCAGACTCACCTTTTTGGCGGAGAGCGCCAGCTTCTTGGCAGGTGGTGGTGACATGGTGCTGCTGACCTCCAGAGCAGTGCTGGCCAACAGGGAAGACTTCAGTTTTGCCGGCTTGGAGTCTTTGGGGTCAGCCGGCTCGGCACCGGGGCCAGCAGGGCGGTCTGTGCCACAGTCTGTTCCCTGAGATGTACAGAAGCTGCTAGTTCCACCCTTGGCCTTCTGGGCCTTGGCTAGCTTCCCCACTGCACTATGTGCTGGGCTGGCAGCACTGCTGCCACAGGAGTCCCTCTCTAGGGTCCCAGCATTCCCCCCACTGCCCCTGGGCTCCTGGCTGGGGTTGGGCTCCAGCAGCAGCTTAGGTGAGGTAGGCGGCTGCTTGCTCTCCCAGGGCAGCTCCACTTTGGCCCCACTTACATCGCTGGTGTTGCAGGAGCCCTGAACTGCTCTGGGCATGGGAGGCAGCTGTGGGGTGGAAAGCTGCTTCTTGGGCCTCTGCGCTGTGTCACTGGGCAGAGCTGTGGCTGCGGCGGTGGCTTTAAGGGGCGGTTTGGGTGATGGTGACCCAGCCGGCAGCTTTGTCGGAGTGGTTCCATTTGGCAGCTTTGGCCCCATTCCAAACATGCTGCGGGCCACAGGGACCCCGACTTCCTCCAGCCCTGGCAGCTTCTTCCCTGGCAGCATGTCTGGTCGCTAGAAAAAGAGAAAGAGAGACGTTCAGCGAGGAGAGAATTCAAGGAACCAAGGACACAGAGCGATACTGCCCTCCCCGTCCCTCCCCAGGCCCACACAAGATCCCTCCTGCAAACCGTCCTCCTTCACGCCTGCCCATTTGGAGCAGTGCACCTGCCTCCCTGCGAAGCTGCAGCCCACCTGCTCTCGCAGAGCAGAGGGACAGCAGCTCCCAGCTCCCGGGAGCACTGGCCAAGAGCAGCCTTCAGGACTCACCTGGCCAGTCAGCGGTGAAGACAGGGGCCCGTTGGTCAGTGTTTTCTTCACCTGACTGGAGACGCTGCCAGTGCTGCCACGTAGGCTGGAGGCAGCTTTGGCAGTGGGCCCCTCTGGGCTCTTCCTGGGGCTGGGGATTCTAGTGAAGGCAGAGAAGTGCATGTGTTAACTGCGAGGGTTTGAGCAACTGGAACGCTCTCGTCAGAGATGCACACAAGAAACAGGAGCCAGAAGCTCCGAGGAGGTGAGGTGCTCTTGATCTACAGCAAAACCATGACATGGGACCGGACCTCTTCCCGCCACCCTCCTCCAAGCCACTGCATGCACACAGGCATTGGGGCTACTTGGGCCAAGCCCCTTCCCACACTCAGGCACGTGCTACCAGCCCTGTCCCAAATGCTGAGAGCAGGGGGCAGAGGGGCCAAGAGACACAGGGTGCTCTCACCTCAGGTAGAACAGCAAGTAGGCCTGCTGGTTGAGAACCACTTTGATATTGCTGGAACGAACGATGTCATCGTTCATTTGGTACCACTGCCCGTTGCTGGCCTGCAGAAGGAGAAGAGAGAATGGGGTCAGGCTGTGTCCAGGGACCCTCCTGGCCTGAAGAGCAGCAGGAACAGCACCCGTCGGCAGAGCTCCTCTCCCCAAAACCCACAGGTGGCCCAGGGCAGGCAAAGGGACTCTGCAAGAGCAGACCTCCATGCTTCCTGCAGCGGAGCACAGCCTGTACCCCCCATCCAGTGCTCCACACCATGCTCATCTGCTGTGCGCCCTCCTTTCTGCACACTACAGGGACCCACGAGCACCCACCAGCCCCCAGCCCAGAGGGGGTACCAAGAGAGTGCCCTGGGCTCACCTTCACGTAGCACTAGTAGTGCCCTGCGTGGCAGCTGTAACCAGAGTGCACCAGCACTGCGTAGAGCCCATACATGATGGGATCCCCCTTGCTCCGCGACATGTAGGGGCGGATGTTCAGGAACTCCGGGTACCCCACGTCCTGCGGAGAAAGGATGTCTCAGGAGCCTGCACAGCAGACAGCTTTCTTGCTAGAGCAAGAGCAGTTCAGCTGTCCTATGAGTCCCAACTCCCGAGGGAGAGCGACCCGCTCTCCCCAGGCAGAGGTCACAGTGAGGAAGATGCCAGGATGAGCCAAACTCCCATTGCACCACACAGCTGGGGAAGGGCTGCAGGACTGCAGCAGAGCTCACACTGCACACAGGACCACCTCCCACCCTGCTCTGGGCAGCAGGGCCTCGGGCCAGGAGACAGCCCCAGCTCTGGATTGCCAAGCACTCACCTTTGTGATTTTGCCTCCATCAAAGTCGGCAAAGCGCTTCAGTGACAGCGTAAGAACGTTGGAGGCTCGGTGGATGGTGAAGCGCTTGCTAGCTGACACCTTCTTCTTGCATCTGCACAGGAAGAGCTCGAGCTATTCAAGCTGTTCCACCACCCAGATGATCGCCAGCCCTGGCCAAGCAGCAAACCCCACAGAAATAACCCTGCTGACACCAGGCACCGCTCCAGGGCACCTACTCATGGCCATGTCTGCTGGCCCAGGTCCTCCTCACAAGAGGAGGGAGCTGAGAAGTGGCAGGCTTCATCGCAGGTTTCCATGGCCACGTACCTCACGGTTTAGCCATGGAGCAGGTAGAGAAGCCCTCCCATATTGCAGCAGGCTTTCCACCTGCTTCCCACCAGCACACCCGCGGGCCCCTTCCCACCCGCAGACCCACACACTCACTGAGCACACATGTAGGCGTTCTCCCCGCCCAGGAGATCTGGCTTCACAAACATCTCCAGAGCCCGCACTACGTTTGTGGCTTGCTGCAAGGACAGAGGAGAGGTCAGGGCATGAGTGGCCTGTCCACGCAACAGCCCAGCTCCCTGCCAAGATGCTGGCCCCAAGAGATAACACAAAGCATGAACACAGGGCCACAGACTACACCAAACTCATGAGCCTGCTGCCAGCTAGGCACTGGCCAGCATGCTGCGAGGGATGGCTGCACTGCCCCCCAACCCCACGGAGCCTCAACAGAGGAGTCGTGGCTCACGCTCAGGCAATGGGCACTGCTCTGCCAGACAGAGAAGGCAGTGCAACAACAGAAGCTGCTTCCCTCTTGCATGCACCGTGCCTTGACACTGGCAGGGTAAGGAGCCTGGAGAGCAGTAACGGTGCAGTTGCAGGAACCGTGAGAGCAGAGCTCCTCCCTAGCCCCGACCCTGCCACAGTACCCTAATCTCCAGTGCCAGGTCCAGGCAAGGGTCATAGGTGTCCGAGACACTCTTGCACGCCAAGCACTTAACTGCAAAAGAAAGAGTCATGAGCACACCCTGGCACAACACCTGCACCCGCCACCACCCCAGCACAGCGCAGGCAGCTGCAGTATTCCCCCTCTCTGGGTTTGGGCTCTCTGGGATGAGCACCAGGATTCACAGCCTGGCAAGGAGGAAGGCTGACAATTCCACTATGTGCTGGGACACCAAGTGTTGCTAGGTAGCTGGCAACATGGGTTCCTTTGCTGGTGACAATGAGCTGGGGACCCACAGCCAACAGCTTTTTTCCATCACAACAGGGGTCACGACCCACAGGTACTGCAAGACTGACCAACTGCAGCTCTGGATGATTTACACATGTTCAGCAATTTTCGGAAGGCTGACAATTCCACTATGTGCTGGGACACCAAGTGTTGCTAGGTAGCTGGCAACATGGGTTCCTTTGCTGGTGACAATGAGCTGGGGACCCACAGCCAACAGCTTTTTTCCATCACAACAGGGGTCACGACCCACAGGTACTGCAAGACTGACCAACTGCAGCTCTGGATGATTTACACATGTTCAGCAATTTTCCCAAAAGATTTTTACTGCAAGGCTCTCAGGGAAACAGCAGCCTTGAGAGTCACAGGCCCAGGACCTGGCAACCAGCACTCACCACGGGACCGCAGGTAACCGCCAAAGATCTGGTGGACCAGTGTCGTGGCCTGGGTCTGGCGATCCAACCTAGGGACAGCAGCACCAGATCTCACACCGCCCCTCGGCAACAGCCACCCCCGCGGGCCACCGCTGTGTCGTCAGGACAGCTCCCCTACGCGCTCTGGCCAGCAGACAGGCTGCAGAGCTCCGGGAGCAGAGGGAAGTCACAGCCCCTGCCAGTCTGCTCTCCCTGTGCTGGAGCTTAAGGGGTGGCACCAGGCCCCAGCGTGCACCTTCCTCTAGAAGGAGCAGAAACTCCTGGCTGGAGCTCAGAGCTGGGCACTGCAGACAGAGGCAATGCAGGCTTCCTGGGACGGAGGGCCCAGGGGAAAGCTGCTCACCCACAGCCACAGAGCTGGGGCTGAACTAGCAAGCATGCCTGGATTCCTTGGCAACTGGGAACAGGATCCAAACCCACAGCAGCTTCAGGATTTGGGGACAGGACCACAGCTATGCTGGGGCAGAGGTGTCAGGAAAAGGCAGACAACAGCCCAGAGCTGTGTCACAGAGGGGCAGAGAGTTGGGCTATCCACCCGAGGCCCCTGGAGTCAGTACCTCCCTCTGTGAGTCCGACCTGGGGGACACATTCACCCCACAGTCCCCTCCCGCGGGCACAGGGGACCAGTGAGGTGACAGCAAAGAAGAGCAGCAATGGGCCATCAGAGGCCCCACATACTTCGTGCAGTCATTCAGGCAGGCCTTCTGCATGGCGTCGATGGTATAGCGCAGGAACTCATGTGCATCCTCCTGGCTGCCGAAGCGGATGTGCTGGGCGATCTCTGCAGGAGAGGGAGGAATCAGCCCCAGCACATGCTGCAATAGATGCAGACCCTCCCTCCCTCGGGGCAAGTAGTCTGGGGTTTGAGCCCCCTCAACCCAAACCAGACGTCAGACTCATGCTGGCCACGGGGGAAGCCCTGCGCAGCCCATGAAGTCACCAGCCCCCGGCAGGCTCAGTGAGTCATCTCAGAAGAGCCGTCTGCCAAGACCTGCCCCGATCTCAAAGGTTCTGCTCCTGCATTAGTCACTGCTCTCCTGCACGGCTACGGGAGGGCAGCCATCCTTACTCTTGAGGTCTCGGATGAAGGACACCGGCTTTATCGCGTTGCCGCTGTTAGCGAAAGCCTGGATCGTGTGGTTCTGCATCACACACATCATACAAAAGCCTCCTTGGTGACCTGGAGCAAGAGAAGAGAAGACAGGACGCTGGGGACAAACCCAGAAGAGATGGAGGTAGTGCGAGGGACAGGGGATTTCTGGTCAAATACAGCTCAGCCACAGTCAGTTTTCCCTATGAGCTGTGCACTATGGTACAGCTCTGGGGCAGCCTGGGTACACAGGGACCAGCACACACCACCCCGGCTGGCACAGCCCAAGTCACAATACCAGCCACCACAACCCCCCCAGACGAGACAGCATCCACGTGGATGGAAAACAGGTCACAGGTACTCGCTGGAGGAGCCCACAGGTCAGCCCTGAGGGGTAGATCCCACCAGAGCCCTACAGACGGGGCTGCAAGCGCCACATGCTCCCCTTGGTCACAGCTAGGAAGAGTGCGCACCGGACTCCCTTTCAAAACCACCCATGAACAGCACCTGCTGCCTGTACACAGCCTTCTGCCCTGCCTTCACACAGTCCCCACAGGCAGGGGCTGTTTGGAACCCCCAGCTCAGCCCCCAGGAAACCAGCAGACCCCGTTGGACCCCTCTTAGTCCTGGCTACACCCAGCAGAGACAAAGCCTCCGTAGACACAAGGATGCAGAGCTCAGGAACACTGCTATGGCCAGGAAAAGCGAGCCATATGCAGGAACCACCTCTCGATGGAGAAACGGGCAGGAGGGAGCAGAGAAGGTACATCCCGACACCCGCACACCCCTCGACAGAGCCACGTGCAGAGGTGCTGAGCACAGCACTGAGAGCAGTACAGGCGGGCACTCCATCTCCCCACCAGCGTGGCTGCCCTGGCCCTGCCGCCCACCGAGCCGGGCCTCCCCACTCACAAGTGCGGCTGTGCTCCTTGGAGAGCAGGTAGTTGGCGAGCGGCGGCGTGTAAGTCAGGCACTGCACTACGGAGTTAAGGAAGCAGGTGTTCCCGAGATTGTGCAGCCCGGCGCCAATCCGGTAGACCCGCTCCCACTTCATAGAGAGGCGCTCCACGGGGAAGAGTATCTTCTGAGGGGCGGGGATCCCGTCCCCCCGTCCCCCCGGGGCATGGCCGCTGCCTGCGGGGAGAGGGGCGGTGAGCCGCGGGGATGCGGAGCGCGGGGGAGAGCCCCCCTCGCTCTCTCTACCTACCCTGCTTGCCGGGCGGCGCCTCCTCGGGGCCGCCG